ATATAGCAGCGTCATCTGCATAAACCCGGGCCAGGATTCCTATTGGCTGGGTCGGCTGGGGGTGACGTAATTGGGACGTACTAAGACTAGGGTTGGGCCCGGAACCGGAGCCATTACTGCAGGAAAAGGTCCCGCAGAGCTGAGCAGTCAAGATGGTGGGGCCCAGCGCTGGGAAGATGAGCGGGATTTGGGGCGAGAGGCGGGAAGCCGGGGATAGGGGGCGGGGAGAAGGCAAAAGGTAGGGGGTAAAGGAACCTGAGGGCCTTAAAGGTTGGAGGTGGGGTTGGAGTGTCGGGGATCCTGTCCTGCTGGGAAGCGGGTCCCCAGCATGGAACGGGAGTTTGTGGCTCAGAGTTCTTGGGACTGGGATAGAAGCTTGGGGGATTGGAGTTAAGATGCTGACCGCTCCCCTCTTCTCTGAGCAGTGTGACTTCACCGAGGACCAGACCGCAGGTGGGTAATCTGACCCCTATTGAGGTCATGCTTAGGGAAAGGGACACTCCCTCTAGCACCCTCCAGCCACCTGTCTTCTCTTCAGCACCCCCAGGGGAGTACTTCGTGGATTCCCTTCTCCCTCCTTCTGGATCTTCCATTTTCTTTTCTCACTCTTTCTTCCTCCCTTCCCTTGTACTCTAGATCTGAGCCCCAAGCACTGGGTGAGTTTTAGGTGGTGTGGGCATGTGAAACAACTTGGTCACTGACGCCTGTTGTGTGTGGGGCTTGGGGACTGGTGTATTAAGCTGCCTGTGCTCCCCTGTTCCTTAGTTAGCTGCTTCTGCCTCTTTTCTCCTCCTGTGATAACTTTCCCCCTCCCCCAGCTTGGAATCGTGAAGGCTGTAGACAACAGTGACCTGTTACTTTGTGAATATGGAAGAGGGGAGTTTGCTGAGGATACTTTTAGTAGCTGTACTCTCTGAAAGGTCTCTGTACTGGAGGGGTGGGAAGTGGCAGGCTGGGATGACCCCAGTCCCAGGCTGCTGCTCCCACTTCCTTATAAGGACAGGGCCCAGACAGGGCGGTGGCAAATCCCTGCCCTGAGTAGTGAGGTGAGGGGGCTGGGCAGGCTGCTGCAGGCGGAGGGTATGTAAATGGCTGGTACCTCTGCCAAGGGGAGGAAGGCCGGGTATTTATGTGGGACACCTGAGTCGGAGGAAGAGACGCTGGATCCCTCTTAGAGGGTTTGGGTGCACAGCGGTATAAATATCTGGTTTCCTCAGCCTGATCAAAGTGGAATGGGCCGCAGGGGCTGTAAGGGAGGGTTTGGGTCAACCCCCACGTGCCCAGTGCTGATGTTTATCTGAATCCTCAGAGTTCAAGGAGGCTTTCCAGCTGTTTGACCGAACAGGGGATGGCAAGATCCTGTACAGCCAGTGTGGGGACGTGATGAGGGCCCTGGGCCAGAACCCCACCAACGCCGAGGTGCTCAAGGTCCTGGGGAACCCCAAGAGTGATGGTGAGGGTCCTTAAGAATAACTCTGCAGTGTGGTAGTGGGTCTGCAGTCTTTAGCCGATAGCTTCGCTTTATCTTCTTAGGCCCTGAACTCAAGCAGCTCTTGTCTAGCAAATCCCAGATAGATTTCTCCTGCCTTGAGTGGGAACCACGTAATCCCCAGTCCTGAGAATGCATGTGACTTTGCTTCCACCTCCTTTATGGCAGAGATGAACGTGAAGGTGCTGGACTTTGAGCACTTCCTGCCCATGCTGCAGACTGTGGCCAAGAACAAGGACCAGGGCACCTACGAGGACTACGTTGAAGGCCTTCGGGTGTTTGACAAGGAAGGGAACGGCACCGTCATGGGTGCTGAGATCCGGCATGTTCTCGTCACACTGGGTAAGGCTCTGCCCTTCCTTCTTGAGCTGAGGTGCCACCTGATAGACCTCACGCGGCACCCAGTTCCAGAACGCTCACTCTTCCTTCCCCTCTGCAGGTGAGAAGATGACAGAGGAAGAAGTAGAGATGCTGGTGGCGGGGCATGAGGACAGCAATGGTTGTATCAACTATGAAGGTGAGGGACTAACTGGGGTCTCACGGAGGAAGCAGCCATACAGGGCAGGTCAAGTGCAGCATTTGGGGCTTTCCCTGTCCCTGGATTCAGGCTCCAGAAAGTGCCAACAGGCAAGGGGCAGGGCCCAGCCCAGCCCAGGAGTGGGAGGCCAGGGGGGTATGACAGGAAAGGAAGGGCTTATGTGGCATGAAGGGTGGGAAAGGGATGGGAAGTAAAATAAATGGATGTCTAACCCCTCGCCGCCTGACCCCTTCACCCCATGTCTGTGTCTTGTCTTCACCATTAATGTCTCTTCCTTCCTGCAGCGTTTGTGAGGCATATCCTGTCGGGGTGACGGGCCCATGGGGCGGGTACGGCTCCTCCCAGCCCCTCTTCTCTAGTTGACCTCCCCAGTGTTTTTCTTCCCAGCCTTTGCTCTCTAGCCCCTGCCCTTCCCCTACTACCATCTGACTTCCTCCTGGCATGTCTCTGCATGTAGCTGACTGGGGAGGGGAGGGGTTCCTCAAAGAGGAAGACAGCCTGGGGGTGTGGTACCTCCTTCTCTCCTAGAATGGGCTCTGAGGTTTTGCTTCTTAGGGCGCTGGTGTCTGGGAACTCAACACCAGCCTATCCCAGTCTTGCTTCATGGTCATCCTTTAGCCCGGGAGCACGGGCAGCTGGCAGTGGGGGGTGGGTTGCCTGTCCCACTGTGCTACTGCAGCTGAAGTCTCTTTCCCGTCCTTCTGCTGGGCAGCTCGGAGGTACCCTAACCCAAAACTCTGTCTTCTCCCGCCAATGGCTGACAGTAGCTGTAGGTGTAGTTGAGAACTCTTCTGCCTCTGCTGTGTTCTTGCTGCTCAGGGTGGGGTGGGGAAATAACAGCTGGTGGGAGGGGAGCTGGGGGCTGAGAGGACTGGTCAGACTCAAGGTGGCCCCTCTGCAAACTGACCCCAAGGTTGGTTGCTGTGGGCACATTCCTTCTTAGGCTACCTTTGTGGTCTTGTGGTCTTCTGGCCCCTGGTGGACCCCTCCCCTTGGCCCTGCTCCCAGGATCACCCCCTCTCCTTTCCACAGAGCTCGTCCGCATGGTGCTGAATGGCTGAGGACATTCCCAGTGTGCGCGGAAACCACGCCTTCCCTGTGGGAGTGTGTATGTAGCCCCAGAGGCCTCCTAGGTGCTCGTGTCACAGTAGTTTTCCCAGATAGTCTCTCTTGGATGATGTTTGCCATCAGCATTCACCAAATAAACTTGCTCTCTGCCCTACATGCGGTTCTGCTTTCCTTCCTGAGCAGGGTGAAGGGGAGGACAGTCTGGGGTCAATGCCAGAGGCTGGGGAAAGCCGGACGGCAAAGGGCCTCTAGGAACCATCTTTGCCTGATTTAAGAAATGCTGGCCTTAGTTATTGATGCTACAAAGGCTACCCCTTGGGGATTAGGAAAGCCATAAATCCCTGTAGCACCAACGCTGGCCACCCTTGTGCCATCCCATATGGCGCTGAGTCCTCTCCTAGCCCTCCCCAGCACTGAAGGCCTTTTGTCGGGGAGTGTTTATTGGCACGAAAGCCAGGCCATATTAGCACTGCCTGAGCCTGTCTGTCACTTCAGCAAGGCTAGGGGCCAACAGTAACAAGTAGCTGAGATGCCTGCCTAATAAGGGAAGATATGAAGCCACCACTTCTGAAAGGATAAATAGACAAAATCTCTGGGATGTGAGGATGTCCTTCCAAGTCTTAAATGGCTATTTTGAGGGCAGGTGAGAGAGAGCCTCTGCCCAGTCCCTGCACCAGTCGTACAGTCTGGACAGCTGTGCTACCCTTGGCCTGTTTGGGAGAGAGGCCCAGTGCCTCTGCAGCCCTGCCGAGCGCCACTGGGAAAGACTCCAGGAGTGCTGCCCACAGCCTGATCCGCCCCCCCACC